TCCCTAAGCCGCTCCTCATAGGGCTTGTTCTCCAGACCTTTTATCATTTTAGTCGCTCTCCTCTAGACACATTCCAGCTTGTCAATATCTCTCTTGAATTGTGGTGCCCAGAATTGGACACAATATTCCAGGTGTGGTCTAACCAAAGCAGAATAGAGGGGTAGCATTACTTCCCTAGATCTAGACACTATGGTCCTATTGATGCAGGCCAAAATCCCGTTGGCTTTTTTTGCCACCACATCACATTGTTGGCTCATGTTTAACTTGTTGTCCACGAGGACTCCAAGATCTTTTTCCAAAAGTGTGATAAGAGGTATGAGCTCTGAATGCAATTGCTGGCCCGTGTTCAGAGTTCTCTCCTTTCAGGACATTTCAGCCTCTTTTCAACCCTGGAACATGTGATGAACTCCGTGCCTCTCTATGTTAGAAAAGAGGCTTAAGTGTCCTATAAGGGGGAAAATAAATGTGATGGGATAATATTGCTGAAGTTCCTTCCTTTCGGGACACTTCTGCCTCTTTTCAACCATGGAGGGCTATGCATGACTGCCAGAAGTAGTTTAACTCATGTGATGAGCTAAGTGCCTCTCCATTTTTGAATACAGGCTGAAATGTCCTACAACTGGAAAATTAAGGTGCATTCCACCCCCACTTTCTCAAGGCTGAAGTGTCCTACGACTGGAAAATTAAGGTGCACTCCACCCCCATTTTCTCAAGAAACAGTGCTCAGGTGTAAGGGAAAAAAATAGAGCTAGCAATTAGGAAACATTTGTACAGTTATTCTGGCTCAAGAGCCTCTACCTCTTCCAGCCCACAGGCCAAGTTCAATTTCAGAGTTGGTAGACCCATAAGGTATTGCCACGCATGCCAGCATATTTTAGCTTATAGCTCTTCATGCCACTTAACAACAACTCAGGATTCAAACTACAAACATTAGGAAGGCTTCCTTTACTATTTTGAGCAGTAGAATGGATTGCTTTGAAGGGCGAATTCACTACTCCACTCACATGAACTGAACCAGTACAGCTCTTTTGATGTTACTTATACTGATACTTGGATCAGACTTCTGAATGGAACCAAAGTAATTAATTTCTCTGTATCTCTGTGATCTCAATTTAATACATCCTTTTAAAAGGCCATCATTCTGCAGTCATGATGTTATATGACTTAGAGCTGTGTAGACATGCATTGACATGTGGAAGTTAAACTTGCCACAGGCTGATTTCTTTATAAAGAAAGCAGACTTTAAGATTCAGATAGATCTTAAGACACTGTTCTAAATAAAGCTTCTACCTGGGAAAATTCTGGAATATGTGGGTGTCTTTTTCATCTAGTCTAGATCAGTTATTTGCTCCCATCAAGCTTTTGAGCTTGATACCTAAGGGGTTTTTTCATGTCAGAAGCGACTTGAGAAACTGCAAGTCAATGCTGGTGTGAGAAAATTGGCCGTCTGCAATGACATTGCCCAGATGTTTTCCCATCCTTCTGATAGGCTTCCCTCATGTTCCCACATGGGAAGCTGGAGCTGACAGATGGGAGCTCACCTTCAAGTCAGCAGTTCAACCAGCACAAGGGTTTAACCCATTGCTGCACCATGGCTCCCTGATAGCTAATGTGAATTGGCCAAACATATCTTGTTTTCACTGAACTTCAAAAACACATTACAAGCAGAGTATAGGGAAGAGGGAAATATGTTTGAGAGTAGCCCATTCCAGGACAAAATTTGACAACTCTGAGAGTCATAGTCCAAAAGAATCACTTTTCCAAGTTTTGGTCCAGAATGGGTTATCAAATATGTGCTCCACAAATGAGTGAATGATCCTCTGAGGCTAGGGTGAAAGATGATAGTTTTGAGTCTTTCAGAAACTTTCTCAATAATTCTGCACAGAAGCAACTGTACAAAATATGCTTTCATCAACAAGAGAAGGAAAACATCCTGATACCTTCAGCTTGGAGCAACATATTACAGGTGGCTTTCTCTTAGCATTTTTCATCTCGCTATTTGAATCAGGTGCAGTATCTCCTTTGTGGTGATTTGGATCAGTCCCGGTATCCTTTGGAAAGAAATAGAAAGGGAAAAGAACAACATGTTTTGGTCAAAAATATTTCAACTTCAAAAACTTCTATAGAGATACAGGATGTTTTTATGAATGATATTGTGGTATCAAAAGACCCAGATGGACTATGATTCTTTTTCTTCCGAGCTTCAAAATAAAGAGTGCCAGGTAAGCATTATCTAAAACTAGTTAATTTGGAGAAGGACAAGTCTGGAATGAAGTCAAATTACAGAAGAAACATATGGAAGAAAGTGAAGTTACTTTGGGTTGTTGTGTTTGGCCATTTTCCAGAAGCATTGTTTCCTGACATGTCACCTACATCTATGGCAGGCATTCTCAGAGGTTGTGAGGTTCCTTGGAAACTGGGCAAGTGATGTTTATAAATAAATTGAATGTCCAGGATGGAAGAATCAATTCTTGTCTGCTTGAGGCAAGTGTGAATGTTGCAATTGGCCACATTGATTAGCATTGAATAGCCTTATAGCTTCAAAGCCTGGCTGATTGCTGCCTGGGGATCCTTTGTTGGGAGGTGTTAGCTGGCCCTGATTGATTGTCTGGAATTCCCCTGTTTTTTTAGTGTTGCTCTTTATTTACTGTCCTGATTTTAGAGCTTTTTTTAATACTAGTAGCCAAATTGTGTCCAATTTCAAGGTTTCTTCCTTTCTGTTGAAATTGTCCACATGCTTGTGGGTTTTAATGGCTTCTCTGTGTAGTCTGACATGGCGGTTGTTACAGTGGTCCAGCATTTCTGTGTTCTCAATATGCTGTGTCCAGGTTGGTTCATCAGGTGCTCTGCTATGGCTGACTTCTCTGGTTGATTTAGTCTGCAGTGCCTTTCATTATCCATGATTCATGTTTGGGTGCTGTGTTCGGTGGTCCCTATGCAGTCTTGTCCACACCTGCATGGCATTCTTTCACCTCTGCAGGAGTCTGCTGCATACCATACATAGGGACCACCAAACACAGCGACCGAACATGAACATGAAAGGCACTGCAGATATATATATATATATATATATATATATATATATATATATATATATATAAAAACCTCACTTGCCCAGTTTCACCAAACAACCTCTGAGGATGCCTGCCATAGATGAGGGTGAAACATCAGGAGAGAATGCTTCTGCAACATGGCTATATAGCCCGGAAACCTCACAGCAACCCAATGATTCTGGCCATGAAAGCCTTCAACAACACATTATTACTGTAACAGGTTAACTAGCCATTTCCAATTACTTTCCAGTTTTACCTTCAATTGACATTTTTAGAGGCATTTTGATAGGAATTTTCCAAGTTTTACACCATTTTCTTAAAAACTAATGCAAAGTAATAAAAAGCAATAAATAGGGCAAAATGTAATGCAAAAACATTGTTTTTGGACATTGCAACCATCAATGGCAGTTCTCAAAAACTGTTAGAAGGAGCTGCAACAAATTGCTCTTAAAAATAAATATAAAGTATATTTTAGAGTAAAATTAACTTTCCCCGGCTTTTTCTCCTGTTAAGGGTTCAGTCTTAAGATTGCCTTTCTGAATGTTCCATTGCTGACCTACAAGCAGCTGTAATCTGACAGAAGTACATAATGCTTTTTTGTATATGTTGCCATCTCATTCACTCAGAGGTGGCATCATGATTGCCATCAGCACCCTACTTTTTTGCTGAGAGTCAGTGCAACTTGCAGATATTTAAACAGATGCAGAAAAACATTTGACATCATACAGAAATTATTTTCAATTTAAAATATTGACCATGTAAAGAAAAAGAAAAAACCCCAGCAAATATAGTCAATATACAGGACATCACGCAAAGTCATTTTTCTGTAAGAAGATCTCAAAGGCTTTTTGGAGCCAAACATCCTTCAGTAACCCATGGAAGGAGAGCAACAAACATGACAGTTTTATGGGATCCTATACCATGAATTGCTCAAAACACAAATGAATGAATGGTAAACCAAATCTGGCCTGAAACTCAAATGACTAAACTGAGACCCCATCTACACTGCCATATAATGCAGTTTCATAATGGAGTTTAACTGCATCAACTGGAATATATGGCAGTGTAGATGGGGCACAAGGCTATCATGTATGAACATATCATGAGATGACATGGCTAACTGGCAAATATAATAAATGTTAAGTTAAGTTGAAGGCAGTATGACAAGAAGACCACATAATTTATTCTATTGAGGAAGCTATGGCTCTGAATGTGTAAGATTTGAGTAGGACAGTTGATGGCCATGGGTCTTGGGGGTCTCTCATTCATGAAGTCATCATTGGTGAATGCTAACCTGATGGCAAACAACAATAAGGGTAGTTGGTCAACCTTGCTTTTCCTACCTGTACACATGGAATAAAATATATATTGGGGGTTTTTTTGGAAGTATTCCAACTTGTAAACGGTCTAGGTAGAAATAAACATAGAGAAATCAATATGGGCAACCTTCCCTTCAACATAGATTGAGTCCAAATCAAAACCTTGGTTTGGAGGACCTCACAACCTCTGAGGATGCCTGCCATAGATGCAGGCAAAACGTAAGGAGAGCATGCTTCTAGAACATGGCCATATAGCCCGAAAAACCTACAACAACCCAAAACCTTGTAATCCAACGAACACTTTGGAGTAAATCTCAAGAACATGATGAGACCTGGGAGTAAATTACATGCAATTCTGAGACTTTTACCTTGAAACCATCCTGCTTTCCAAATCAACGTTAACTTGCAATTTGTTTGAACTAACTAATCTTATCTAAAGCTTTGGCTCACATGTTTGCTTGTAAATAGATTTTTTTTTCCATGTTGGGAGCGATTTGAGAAATTTCTGGGGTGAGATAATTGACTATTTGCAAGGATGTTGCCCAAGGGGTGCCCAGATGTTTTACATCCTGTGGGTGGTTTCTCTCATATCCCTGCATGAGAAGCTGGAGCTGACAGATGGGAACTCCCTTCACTCCCCAAATTCGAACCACCGACCTTCGGTCAGCAGTCCACCAAGAGCAATAGATAAGAAACATTTATGCAAAGATGTGACAGAGAGAGATTAGTATAAATCTCTTACTCTGGTCAGTTGAACAGTTCTATTGGACATGCAGGAAGATAATGTTATCAACAAAATGTAGGTATAACATGAAATCAGAAACTTGTCACTAGCAGCACAGCCAAACCAGATAGCAGCATTAAAAATGAAGGATATAAGATTAAAGACTTAATCAATCCAGACATTACCATGTTTACACACACAGAAGATAGAGAAAATTCCGTTCTTCGGGAAGAGACTTCCTTGGATTCAGATGCTTTCTGCTCCATTGGGCTTTGATTGGTCGAATAAGATGGCGGTTCAGTTGAAAAGGAGGGTGGTATTTTTGAATTGTCTCCTGACTATATCAAAAGGGTTCATAAATAACAAATATGAAGAAAGAAAAGTTCCCCAAGGAAGAGGGTTGGAAGGCTAGGGAAGTGGTATTAGGATCCTGTTCTGCTGGAAAAAGCTTCGTGCACCAAGTCCTCTTTTCGGTCAGGTTAGATGTGAGGAATTGAAGGAAGTCTAAATGTGAAGATCACAGCCTGACTGGACTTGGACAACGGAAACCCGCCCAGTTGCCCAGCTTGGTTAAAGAAAGTGTATGTCGAAATAATAGAACAATTGCTCACATGAGCACTATGCCTGTTCCCATGGGAGAGTAAACCATGGGGTTTACTCAGAGGAAGAAGAAAAATGCAGACAATGCGGCTATTCCTTGGCCTGATTGTTGCCTAGCAAATGGAAGTAGAAACACCCAAACCTTGGCCAAGTGTCCCTCAAGGATATTCAGTAGCCAATCAGATAAAGTATCCCTTCAATCTGCTAGCCAGCATACAGCACATAGAGAGCCAATGTTTCCAGTACATACTGGTACAATTCAATAGACATCTTTCTCCCACTCCTACCATGTATGCTCCATTGCAATGCTAATTATGAAAACCTGACTGCCTGAAAATACTATGCGCAAGGTCTCTTAATTCTGTTCCGCAGTGTATTTGACTGAAGAGTCAAGTTGTTCTGAATTGCAGCTTATGCAACTATTTGGGGCATTTCTACATGGCACTGACACAAGAAGTTCTGCATTTGAAACTTTTGTACTTTTATAAGAAAGCCAGAAAAAAGTTCAATAAGCTATGAGCTGGGTTTTGATGGCATGTAACTCACTGCCTGCAGGAAGCCCTGAGGCTTTTTTTTTTTTTTGGTTTGACATTACATTCTGGAAAATCAGAAGGTAAATTTAAAAACTAGGTTTCTACCTCTCATGGCTACAAGATAAATAAGAAAACATAACAGATATATTTCTTGTGTCCAAGGACTTGCCTGATATACATAAACCAAATGCACAAATAACTTTTTTTAGAATTCTTGCCAGATAGATTTCCTCCCTGTTCAAAAACAATCATCATCTCTTCAATCTCTTTCCTTAAATTGATATTTTTATTGCCATTCATACCTCACAAATCATGTTGGTAGCAAATCAGCTCTCCCTTTGCCTCAAATTAACACCTCGGTGTCTCCTCTGGGGTAAAGGTAATGTAGCCTGGAGTTTAGCAGCGGAGAAGCACAAACCAGAGCAAAGCAGAGGAAAAGGCATGTCCTTGAATGAAGTATTTTGTCACAGAAGAAGTCTGTGAAACTTTTGTTTCATTCAGCAGGAGCCTGCTGAGTGAGAGGGAAAGAAGGGACCTGAGCCAAGTGCCTTAGCTAGAAAAATGCTCTGTGCAAAAGACCGCTCAGAGTAGTCAAAGAGATCGGTCCTCACTCACCTTGATGCTCTCTCCCACATTGGCTTCCATTTCCATTTCAGACATGATTCAGACTGTATACTACCAGTAGATCGTCCTCACTTTCTCGTCTATTTTTTAAAACCAAATTCTTAAGGAAAAACGGAGACCCTAATTCTCTAAACAATGTTAATCCCCACAGGTCTTTGATTACATTGATTTCTGGCCAGTCCACTGGCATTAACTCCTAAGAGGATCCAATTGTCACTTTCTCATGTTCCCTACATGAGAATATAGATATTTATTTACATCATCACTTATATCCCGCCCATATCAGCCCGCAGGTGACTCAGGGCGGTCTACATATCGGCACAATTTGATGCCATCAATACAATACAACAGCAAAAACAATTAAGTGCATTTAGACAAAAAAGAGCTATATCCTCTCATTCCAATCCTCATCCGTTTCATCGTCTTGGCCATTCCTGGGTCATTCTCTATCTCAAGCTTGACTATCTATTCCAGGGTTGCGAATGCTTGCTCAAAGAGCCAGGTTTTTACTTTCTTCCGAAAAGTCAGGAGGGAGGGGGCTGATCTAATATCCCTAGGCAGGGAGTTCCACAGCCGAGGGGCCACCACAGACAAGGCCCTGTCCCTCATCCCCGCCAAGTGTGCTTCTGAAGCAGACGGGATCAAGAGCAGGGCCTCCTCAGATGATCTTAACTTCCTGGAGAGTTCGTAGGAAGAGATGCGTTCGGATAGGTAGGCTGGGCCGGAACCATTTAGGGCTTTATAGGCTAAAGCCAGCACTTTGAATTGATCCCGGTAGCAAACTGGCAGCCAGTGGAGCTGATGCAGCAGAGGAGTTGTGTGCTCCCTGAGCACCGCTCCTGTTAGCAACCTGGCTGCCGCACGCTGGACCATTTGAAGCTTCCGGGCCATCTTCAAAGGCAACCCCACATAGAGCACGTTGCAGTAATCTATGCGGGATGTAACCAGAGCATGGACTACCGTGGCCAAGTCAGACTTCCCAAGGTACGGGCACAGCTGGTGAAGTTTTAGTTGTGCAAATGCTCCCCTGGTCACCGCCGAAACCTGGGGTTCCAGGCTCAGCGATGAATCCAGGATCACACCCAAGCTGCGAACCTGCATCTTCAGGGGGAGTGTAACCCCGTCTAACACAGGCTTTAACCCTATGCCCTGTTCGGTAAATTTAGGCTATGAGCTCTGTTATGTATTTATTTCATGTCAAAAGCATTGCATAAATAAGTAAGTATAAAACTGATAAAATAAAGGGAGCACAAGCAGCTAAATAATTTTGGACCAAAAACGGGCAACAGTGTCCACATTGCCTGTGACCAAACATTTCCTCCACGGTGCATGAGGCAGGGCATGGTGAGCAAGCATACAGATGCTGAGCTGTTTGCTCTACTCCACAGTCCCACAAAATGGAAGATTCTCTAGGTCAGTGGTTCCCAACCTGTGGTCTGTGGACCTCCATTGGTACGCAAGAACGAAAATATGGTCTGCAGCCCCTCCATTACTACACCGTTGCGTCGAAACCACATGGAAACGAGAGCAACTGGTCTCATGAAAACCTATTATAGTGCCAAAGCAATGGGTATGTTGGGAGGGGAGAGGCTGACTACCTACTAAAGATTACTACTACCACATCAGCTCTAGATTATTAAATATGGTTTTCTGTTGGTGAGCAGATGGAGACTACTGGATGGCATATATTTCGTATCAGAAACTAGAGTTAATGTGGTCTATCCAATGCAATTTTGTGAATCAGCACCCCAAGTAACCAAACCAAATCTAAAGTTCACCAAAAACCGATTCGTAACCCTTTTGCTACTAATGTTGGAGAGTGGCCCCTGCTCAAAGTTGATCCCTGTTCAAGTGGTCCCTGTTCAAGTGGTGCCTGAACAAAAAAATAGTTGGGAACCACTGTCTTAGGTTGGGAACCACTGCCAGGTTGTCTTTTGATGGGCTTAATGATACACACTTGTAATCTCACTGCCGATTAGATCCTCATGAATTGTAGTTTCCTGGGAACTCCAACTGCACATCTGAGATTCATTTCCTGGTTGCTCTAATTACTTAAGAATATTGAGATGTTGCCATATGTCAACATAGTCTATTGGTCCAACAAGCTTAGTATGAGCACGTTGATAGATCTGTGCATCAATTCTGCATCCACAGATTCCATGACTTGAAAATATTTATTTCAAAAATTTCCAAAATACAAACTTTGGTTGTGCCTTTTTCTTAAGGTTTTTTTTAACATCTTAAGACAGCATTATATATAGTGGTACATGAGCATCTGTGGATTTTGGTATACATAAAGGATCTTAAAACCAAATCCCAGTGAATAACAAAAACCCACTATATTTATTTATTTATTTATTTATTTACTGCATTTCTCTGCTGCCTTTCTCAGCCCAAAGGCAACTCAAGGTGGCTTACACTGACCTAATTTGATGCCACAATGAACATAAACAGAATTAAAACAAAATTGAAAACAATCAACACATTATAAAAACCCTGTAAAACATATTATGTATTATTTTAAATGGATTTCATCATAAGTCCTTCTGAGATTTTCAAAGGGCAGGATGCAAATATTAGGGGTATGCACAATGCCCCAAAAGTTTTTGGTTCCATTTTTTTTGGCTGCCTGCCTATTCCTGGATCTGTTTTCCTGGAAATTCCCAAAATTGAGAAGGGGTGCAGTTTTCATTCCAGTAAGATTCAACCCATTGACACCAATTGAAAAACTTTAGAGGCTCATTTCTGTCATTTGTAGACTCATCAGGATGAAACTTGCCTCACTTGTAGGCCACATTAATGATTGAAAGCCTGCCATGTTTCAGAATGTTTCACCAATCCACTGTTTTTTGGGAATTTTTAAAATGTTTTTACCATAACATTTTTTTAAAACCCACAAGAGGGTGCTTTCGGAATTGATGTCCCAACCAGCATGCACCACAAGAGGGGAGGAGAATGGATACAGTCAACCAAGCTTCTGATTGTGTGAGAAAGAAACATGAGAAACAGTGGGAGAGATAAACCTTAACTCCCATCGAGCCCCAGGAGGGAGGACACAGGCTCCTTCAATTTTCCTGCTGCACAAAGTGCTACTGAGAAAGAGAGTTCCTGGCGAGGCTCTCTCTGGAAGAGCAGCCTAGGGGAGCCTTTCCTACCCCTTTTGCTCTTTCTCTCTCTCTCTTTCCAGTCTTCCTTGCCGAAGGAGAGCACTCCACCATGGTGGTGGTGGTGGGGCTTTGGGAAAGGATAGAGGAGGCTATTGGGGGGGGGGAGGTGGATCTGCTGCTGCCAGGCGCCCACTCTTCCCTTATTTGCAAGGCCACCAATTCACGGTGGAGTGCTCCACTGTGGTGTCCTCTTCAGGTAGAGTGCTGCTTAGCCCAGTCACCCGCATTAGCTGAAATATCTGATTGCTCATGATCCGTTCCACTTAAGGCTTCATCTGGGCCCTGCCCAGTCCATTCTCAGATATCTGGTTGCTGGATCACTGAATTTCCCCAAATCTCAAATTGCCAAACTGAATTCTGCACGTGCCTAGTAAATATCTAAACACACAAGTACATATCATTGATTTCTATAAGATTAAAACATGCTATGACCTGGGACCAAAAGAGTGGAACATGTATGCACCTGCATATGTCTAATAATGCAAAGTTGATCCCTGTTCAAGTGGTCCCTGGTAAAGTGGTCCCTGAACAAAAAATGGTTGGGAACCACTGCTTTAGGCTGGGAACCACTGCCAGGTTGTCTTTTGATGGGCTTAATGATACACACACTTCTAATCTCACTGCCGATTAGATCCTCATGAATTGTAGTTTCCTGGGAACTCCAACTGCACATCTGAGATTCATTTCCTGGTTGCTCTAATTACTTAAGGATATTGAGATGTTGTCATATGTCAACATAGTCTATTAGTCCAAAAAGCTTAGTATGAGCATGTTGATAGATCTGCTAATTCGATCCTCGATGGCTCTCAAGATCGCTCCCAAGCGCAGACTCCAAGGAAGGAAGACAAGGCGCAAAATGAACACCCAAGCCCTTCAGGAGCCCTCCAGACGAGCCCATCTCCAAACAGCACTCAAGGACCATCTACCCACAGTACACCCCGAAAATGTTGAGGAACATTGGAACAAACTGAAGACCTCCATCATCCAAGCCTGCGAAGAAACTATTGGATACCAAGCCAAGAAACATCAAGACTGGTTTGATGAAAATGACATCGAGATCCAACAGCTAATTGACAAGAAAAGGAAAGCCTTCCAAGCATGGCAGAGAGACATCAACTGTGCTGCTAAGAAAAAGATCTATGCCAGTACAAAAGCTGAGGTCCAAAGAAGGACAAGAGAACTCAAGAACATCTGGTGGACAAAGAAGGCTGAAGAAATCCAACACCTGGCAGATACCCATGATGCTCAGGGATTCTTCAAAGCCACAAAGGTCATCTATGGACCAAGAAACCATGGATACAGCCTCTACGCTCATCAGATGGAACCAAACTCCTGAAGGACCAAAACTCAATTGCACTACGTTGGAAAGAACACTACCAAAGCCTCCTGAACCGCAGCTCCAATGTGGCTGAAGAGGTCCTCTCACAAATCCCGCAACAACAAACCAGGGACGAGCTTGCAGCACTGCCTAGTTTGGAAGAAGGCAGCAATGCCATCAGCCAACAGAAAAATAACAAAGCCAGTGGACCAGATGGGATCCCTGCTGAAATCTTTAAAGAGGGAGGACCTGAGCTGACACACCAACTCCACCAGCTCATAGAAAAAGTGTGGGTGACCGAGAAAATCCCAGCAGATTTCAAGGATGCCACCATCATCACCCTCTTCAAAAAGGGGAAAGAACAGACTGCGGAAACTATC